AATATTATGGTTAGGTATTTAATTATGAATTTAAAAATTTAAATTTAAAACCACATAAGCAATATTTAGTTAAGATATAATACATAAATAATTTTTTTTATGTATGTGTTGAAAAAAAAGAGAGAAGGTAGAAGGAACAAAAAAAAAGGGGTGGAAGGTTGTTGTTTCTAAGTCCCACATTGGTTAGATGAGGGAAGAGAAGAGGTGCCTTCATGTATAAAAAGGAGGGGGTGTGTGCATTAGGAAGCATGAGAGGCTAAGATGCAATTTAGAGAAAATTGCAACTTTTGGCCCAAAGGTTTGAATAATTAAATTCAAACCTATAGTTTTTTTAATATAATTTTGGGACTCACAATCCCATTTTTATATTATTTTTCTCTCTTCCTCTCACGTTGCTCGGCGTTTTCTCACAAGGGGGGATTATTTTCTTTTTCTTCAGGTATGTTCTAACTTTCCTGTTTAGATTAGCATTTAAAAATTTATTTAATTACAAAATTAATTTTATAGTTATTTTCTAAATAATATTAGCTTTCTAGTGATATGATTATTTTGTAGGATAGAGTAAATATTTTGATTAGGATTTTTCTATAGGATAGTTAATCTGATGATATGATGGATTAAAAATATAGGTTAAAATTCTTAGGGATATAATAAATATTATAGAATATTTTCTTGAGGTTGAAACTCATGTTTAAGAATTTTTGAGTTAAAATCTAGATCTATATGGTTGAATTTATGTGGAATCTGAGACGTAGGGATAAACCTATGATTATTAAATATTTATTTAAGTATGAATAGGTATTTTTGAGGTTATAGAAAGGTGATTTGAGGCTTCAGGATAATTCTAAAATTTTTAATTTATTTTTGGATGAATTTTTAGAATGTAGAAGGATGAAATTGTGATACTAGAAGTGAATTGAGGATAAAAAAAATAGTTCATTAGGGTACGAGAATTTTAGAAAAGAATTTGGGAAGTTAAATGAGGCATAAATCTTAAATTAGTGTTAATATGGACTATAGATTTAAGACTTTCTAACTCTTTAAATTAGAGTTATTTATTTTAATGTAAAATTAATATATAGTATTGTGAAATAATTATGTAGATTATATTGACAAAGATAGTGGTGAAAAAGGAGTTGTGAAGGGGAACTTGTTATTCAAGACACAAGGTAACCATTATTAATGTGTTGTGATGGGTGTGTTTGTGAATGGTTATGTGTTGTTTTGTTGTTTGGAAAAATTATGAATTATTGAAAATAAATACTGTATATACTTGTTTGAAATCATTGCCAAGTGGGTTAAAAATTTATTTTTGTTTATCATGATGAGATATTATTGTTCGGATATATTTCTGTTTGGATATTTGAATGATGCATGACTTGTCAGGGTATTTTAATGTATGGTGTTAATGGGAATTTCTGTTCGGTTAATTATTACCACGTGGTAAGCCCTCATTGGACCCAATGAGTGGCGTGTCGCTTGGTCCAACTCACCTTTGGCCGGGTGATTTGGCGTCCGAGCATGGCGAAAGGAGGATATAAGGTGCAGTCATGCAAATTAAATACTTGTTCGGTTTGTTTGAAAGTATTGTTCGGTTAAATGTTTTGTGTGCCCACTTAGCAATCGCATGATTAGTTACATCCGCATGCATCATTACATATTAATTTTGGTTACTGAGACTTTTAAGTCTCATTCCCCGTGGTTAATATTTTTACAGGAGCGAGTCCGGCCGAGAAAGCACCAGAGGTGTAACTGTGGTGTATGAGACACCATCTTTTACGTTGCCTCTTATTTTAGATTATACAATGTATCTTGTGCCAACTTAGGACATATCTTCTTTGTGAAGCATGTAAACTCTAATCCTTTTTATTAAAAGTATTTATATGACCAAGAGGATTATGTCTGTCCCTCTTGATTTATGATCTGATTTGAATAACATGCTATAAAGATCATGTCTATCCCTCATGGTTCTAATTGTTTTTTTTTGAGATATTTTAAGACCTGTGGTATATTGTCTTGGATGTATCGTGGTAGAAATTTTTCTACCATGATAAGGGTTCAATAAAAAAAAATAAAAAAAATGATTTGTTGAATTAATGATTTGCGAAAAATCGGTCTATAAATTTGAGGGTGTTACAGAGAGAAATTTAGATCTCCACTCCAAAGGCACCACTCTCTCCCAACATCCCTCCACTAAGTAGCAATCACGGAGCACATGCATGATATCTTCCCTGTGATGCAAACATAAAGCGCATAAGGTATCTGTCTGTAGTCTTCTGACAGCATAAAACATGTTCATCATAATCCTACCGTGACTGCATACCCACAAGAAAGTTTTATTTCTTTGAGGAATAGGAGCCTTCCATAACTTCCTCCAAAAGCCTCTTCGAGTCATATTACTGGTAAGGGATAGGCCTATATAAGTAGACTCAATAGTAAGCTCACCACTATTATTCCATCTCCACCGTATTCCATCCTCATCAGGTGAAATTCTCATGCGAAGAATCTCTTTAACCACAATCAATGGCAAAAAGTCTTTAAATTTATGTCTATTCCAGCTGCCCGAGGGATTAATGTATTTATCTATTGTCTCCTCACAAACTTCATCAGACAGTAGGTTAGTAACATAATAGTCCCTCGTGGTGGGGTAGCCAATGATCTTTCCAAAATCTAATATGAGTGCTATGACCTAACTGCCATGCTATTAGTGTCAAGCCATGCATCACAAATTCCTGTCCAAGCACTAGAAGCACGTTGTCTAGTTTCAACAGTAGATATCACATTGTCTCCACATTTATACTTCTTTCTCATAACTCTCACCTATAATGCATCCCTTCTTTTAATCAAACCCCAACCAAGTTTCATCATGAATGCCTTATTTTGTTTATGAGCCTCCCTCAGACCCAAACCGCCATCTTCTTTCCTCTGACACATATCTCCCCAAGGTACTAAGTGCATCTTCCTTTAGTTATTCATATTCCCCCATATGAATTGCCTACACTTTTTATCAATCTCGTGACATGTATTAAGAGGTAAAGGCATAGATTGCATTCTGTATGTTAGGATAGCAGCAACCACAAAAGAAACTAGGGTATGTCTGGTTGCTAAAAATAAAGAATTTACCTTCCAAGAAGAAAGATGAGTCTCCATCTTGTTCAACACATGTTGATATGTAGCTTTTGTGACTTTCTTATGTAGTAAAGGTACACTTAAATACTTCCCCAGATCTGTCGTAGATGTAAATCTCAAGAAATTACTTATCTTTGTAGTTTTACTTCTCCCTACATTCTCAGAGAAAAAGATCCTAGATTTATTGCTATTGACTTTTTCCTCTGATATACTGCAAAAATCATCAAGGCAAGCTTTAATCATCCCAGCTTGATCCAAGCTAGCTTCAATAAAAAGTAAAAGATCATCTGCAAAGAATAGATGAGATATAACAATCCCATTCCTTTTAAAGCGAAAGGTAACTAGTTGCCATTCTCCACTTCACCTTGAATTAAGTGTCTTAACTTCTCCATAATCAACACAAACAAATAAGGAGATATTGGATCTCCTTGCCTTAGCCCCCTAGATGGGGTAAGTTTCTCCCCCTTTTTACCATTCCATAACACTTGCATAGAGGCAGTAGAGAGACACTTAGTCACCAAATTCACAAATGCTTTAGGTATATTCAGTTCCTTAAAACATTGGATGATAAATCCCCATCTATCTCAATCATAAGCTTTCTCAAGTCAATCTTCAAGGCCATAAAGCCTTTCTTTCCTGAACATTTTCGAAAAGAATGAATAATTTCCTAAGCAACAATAATATTGTTTGTACTTTGCCTTCCAGGGACAAACTACACTGATTAAGGGCCACAACCTTAGGCATGACAGTTTTTAACCGTGAGGTAAGGATTTTAGTCACTTTATAAATGACATTGCTAAGACTAATAGGACGAAAGTCTTTCATTGATTCCAGATTCTCAATCTTCGAAATTAAAACAATATTTGTATCATTAATTCTTCCTACCAAATCAAGATGTTCAAAAATCTACTACACCAGCTGAAAAATTATATTCCCCACTAATTCCCATTGATTTTGGAAAAATAAAGGATTTAAGCCATCAAGGCCCGGGGCTTTGAGAGACCCATAGAAAACAAATTCTGTTTGACCTCTTGTAGAGTAATATCCTTTCCCAACAAATGTAATTCCGCTTGCAAGATTGTAGGAAATCTCCTTCCAAAAACAATGTGATTAGGAGAAGGCGATGTCTTTGAATAGAGGCTTGTAAAATAGTCTGTACCCATTCCTTTCAAACATTCTTTATCATAAATCCATTATTATCTTCCCCTTTAAGAGCTTCAATCCGCTTCCTTTTCTTGCAATTATTAACCATAATATGAAAATACTTGGTATTCTTGTCCTCTTGGGAATACCAATTACACCTAAACCTTTGCAGCCACATAATTGCTTCTTGCACTGACACTTCTTCCAACTCAGCCTATAGAGTACTCCCTCTATTTTTAAATATAAGAGAAATTAATCAACACATGTAGCTTAAAAAAAATAAGTTAAGTATAATAATTATATCTAAAAATAAAAAGAAATTGGAATAATTTTTTTATAATTAATAAAGTAATTTTTTTAGTAAAAATAAATATTAAATTTATGAAAAAAATTTAAACAAAACGTAACAAATACTTTTTAAAATTTATAATTTCCATTATAAATAAAAATAATTATTTTTTTCATATTAAAAAATGTACTAGTACAATCTAGAAACAATGTGCCATGAAATTTAAAATAAAAAAAATTATAATCAAGCCTTATATAAAAAAATTAATTATTATAAAATTTGTTAATAATTAAATTAAATTGTATTGTCAATAAATTTTATAATAATTAAATTTTTTAATGTGAGGTTTGAAATTTTTTTAATAAAAAACATACCTCTGAAGTGGGCGCCACTTCCCTTCCATGGTCTTCGCGTCGGCAACACGTAAGCAAGGACGAATCGACGCCCATTGGAAGATTACGCCACGCCACTCTCAGACGCAGCCTCCTTCTCCAACTCCTTCTTACAGAGACCAGACCACTTTCTTTTCTGTGATGACCCGTCTCGCCCTCCGGCACACGTTAGCCTCCGCCTCTTCCTCTACCTCAACCTCTCGATGTGCAAGTCCAAAAGCAGCACAAACGTGACCGAACCCATGCCCCGTCGATCTCGCACCTTCCAGTCATCTTCTTCTTCGCCTCATACCACCGCCAATAATCTCCGTCCCAATTCTTCTTCCTTTCAGCTCACCACAGAATCCACTAGCTACTACTACAAGGACTGGTCTAAGGGCTCCTCCGTTTCCACCGCTTCCTCTCTCTCTAGCCTTAAGGACTCTTTGCCTGATAACCCCCATATCTACGAGTTCTCCGAGATTTCCTCCGCCACTGGGAATTTCCTTTCCCAAAAACACTCCTCTTCATCTTCTTCTTCGTCCTGGAGATGCTCCATTCGCAACAAGGATGTTCTGGTTTTCCAGCGCAAGTTTCGCCGTCCCATGGACATGCCGGAGCTCCGAGATCGGCTTGCTGTCATCTGCCGGAGCCACCATAGTAGCTTGATCAAACTTCTCGGGGCATCGGTCTCCGGTAATTCCATTTATCTTGTGTATGACTATGTTCAGGGTGTGAATCTCGCTGATTGTCTTCGAAATCGTTTGAATCCCAGCTTCACTGATCTCTCTACGTGGCTTTCTCGGATGCAAATTGCCACTGATCTTGCCCACGGGCTAGATTACATCCACCATTTCTCCGGACTCAATTCGAATTTCGTGCACAACCATATCAAAAGTTCGAGCATCGTCATCACGGAGGATACTCTAAACGCGAGGATTTGTCATTTCGGAACCTCGGAATTGTGCGGTGAAATTGTCGCCGCCGAAACACCTTCCAGTTCCAATTCCTCGAAATTGAAGGAGCTGCAGAGATCCGGTAGCCGGACGGTGAGACTGGAAGGGACGAGAGGGTATATGGCGCCGGAGTATCTGGCAACGGGGATCGCGACGCAGAAATCGGATGTGTACGCTTTTGGGGTCGTGATTTTGGAGCTCCTCAGTGGGCAAGAGGCGTTGAAGTACGAATTCGATGACGACGGTGGGTATAGAAGGATGAGTGTGGTGGAGACGGCGAGGTTAGCTATGGCGGAAGAAGGTGGCGCGAGGAAATGGGTGGACAAGCGGCTGAAGGATTCGTTTCTGGTGGAAGCAGCAGCAGAGATGATTCGGGTCGGGTTAGATTGCGTGGAAGAAGATCCGAGTGAGAGGCCGGATATGGGTCGGGTTGCAGTATTTATATCGAAACTGTACTTGGATTCGAAGAGGTGGGCCGAGAGTATGGGAACGGCTATTGACCTGACTGTCTCATTAGCACCTCGGTGACTCCTCTGATTTTCGCGACGAGATTTTTCGTGTTGGAGTTTTTCTTTTCCTTTTTTTTAATTTTTTTTAATTTCTTAAAAAAAAATCACATTTTGTTTTTCTTGAAACTGTCAGCATTCAAAGAGTGACGAATATTATACGTTGTATATAATGAAAGAAAATCATCATTTTCAGAGAAGGAACTACGAAGGCTTGCAGAATGAAAGAATATATTTGGCCAAACAAAAAAAAAAAAACAGAATATAATGGCGTGTAAGTTGTAACAATTATGGTTAGCAATTATGTTATTTTCAAGTGCGAATTCATTGAAAAAGAGCGAGCACAGTGTGTGTAAAGAATAGACCAAAATATATTCGAGTGTCTTTGTTACTATATTTATACAAGAAAGGCTAAAAAGAGTGACTTTTTAATGTGTATTTGAAGTGAAAGTTTGGAAATTAATTTTGGTTATAATCGATTATGTCAAAATCGAGTTTATTATAATGTAATTTTTTTTTAACATTTTTACTTTAAAGATAATTTTAACAAATGAAATTTGTTTGGAAAGTTTTTAATAAAAGGCACTCTTGGATAGTTCTTCCACCATAAATTATAAAGACAAAGCGAGAATGATGAGAGAGCAAATACTAGTCAATTTAATATTACAATTGGCGAGTCACTGATTATAGATAGATATTCTTTAAGTAGTTCCAATTTTATTTATAAATCATAATTAAGTACTTTAAAATTTATTAATTCTATTTTATTTATCTTTGTTTCTATTAAATATACATATTTTTCCTCATAAATATTTAATAGAAGATAAAAAAATTATGATAAAAATATAATAACATGACTTATAAATAAAATTAAAACTTATTCTCTCTTCCCATTATAAATAGGATCACAAGAGTGATTACAAATTTACAATATAAACCCCCACAAAGGGGTCATTCTTAGATGATAAAGTACTGTCCAAATAATTAAGAATCCTAAACTAATTGTGAAAGGCAAAATTATGGTACCTTGTTGCATGATCCTTGAAGTGTGGTGTTACTTGGACTTCTTTTGGAAAGTGACCATGCAGAAATATGCCAAAACTCGACTAATTATGCCTATACAGATGAGGATTACTACGCACAAGTTCCAATCATGGAGATTATAGCCACTTTCCTTGAGTGATCCGCATCGAGTTATGAGCCATACTCCATGATACCTGAACCATGTAAACATAATAAGCAATATCTACACTATCTGTAAAAAAAAGTTGACTTAGATGCGAATCATGCAATCTCTTGAAAAGTTTATTATTTGATTATTGAAAGAACGATGGCTTAACTCAACAGTTTTCACCTAAGGTTCTAATATGACCGGTTTATTTTTCAATAGCCAAATGTGTGAGTGGATTTGGATCTGAAATTGATGAAGTTTAACGCTAACCACTAATACTTTACATTACTTTATATATATATATATATATGTAAGACAAAATTTATATATAATTCCTTGTTTTCTCATTTCAATTATTAATATTTTGCATTATGCAGGTCTTTAATTTCTTCAAGCATCTCACAAGAGACGTGTAATTTTATGAATCATCTCTAAAAGAAAAATACCTCTCAGCATTTGCAATAACAAATGCTTGCAAAGCCCACTTGGAATAGCAGACATTAGCGATACGCTTCAGAAATTCACTATCCTTTTGTTTTGTCGCAATAAGCGTCAAAACAACTGGAAGAAGTACTGACCACTGCAAGAAAGAGTTGCATCTTACATGTTAAAGGGGAGATGAAAGTAAAATGATAAGTCAAATAACCGGGGAATTGATAATCTGTGTCAAGAATTTGTTATTATGCAGACCTGGTTTCCAAAATTATTTGATAAGCAAAAGCAATCTTTGATCGATATGAAAGTATGTCATATATATATATATATATATATATATCTTGAGCAAAGTGTATCAGTATGTTCTTCATGGGAGTGATTTCTGGTATATTTGCTATGATTGATTTGGTCTCTTAAGTTTTTTGTCGACCAAATGTATTTAAGAAATTTTCAACTGTGGACAACTTCTGATACTTACAAGCTGGGCAGTACCAGGTTCAAAGAACATGGCCAATGCATAAGCTATGCCAGTCACACAGTATACAAGACAGAGAAGCACGATGTAGTTATCTGCAAAAGACGATCTTGGGTTGGTGAGAAAATAGAACATGGAGAGGTAAACCAGAGGCTTGATCACTGTATTAAATTGATCAGTTGTGTCCTTGGAGAGAAAATAGGCCAAGCTGCTCATGCCGGAATCTCTCTCCCTCCAGTAGTGTATTTTATCCAGAGAAAATGATCTCAAGGCTGCTATTTTGCATAGAAGAGCTGAAATTAACAATAACAAATGAGAATAAACCACTAATGACATGAACGTACAACGTAAGTAGAGTAGATTAATTAGTTTAGAGCAATAGTAATTTTTTTTTTTTGGGATAATGCAATATAGTAATATATATATTGATTTACTGATTCCAACGAACTTCAATTATGGTCAAAGGTGTTTTGGCCGAATAAAAAGAATATGATTACGGGTCATATTTTCTTTTTAGTAAGCCAATTGATGTGGCTATAGAGACCCAAGTTACTTGTGCAATCCAGTAGTATATTCATCAGATTGAAGATCAATTTTATGATTTATATAATTTATAATTTATATTAGATATTACTGCTATCTACTGTTTTTAAAAAAGGATAAACATAAGTTTCAATAAAAAAAACAACCGGATTGTCTATTGTTTTTTTTTTCTTTCTGAGTAGTTTATGATGTATAAATTTAATTTCAATGTTTTAAATTCAAGATTGTATAACAGAAAAAATCAAGCTTACATAATAGAAACATTTTAAATGTTTCTTTGTTTGATTAACTTTTTAGTATTTTTATGTTTATATTTTCTTGTCATCTTATTCATGTAGTTCTTACATGCAAATAATTTTTTTTTTTCAAAACATTTCAAAGCTATTTCAAATTGAGTATTATTGAAAAAAGATCATTTAGAATATTAATCATAACCAAGGAATTTAATCTCAAACATTGCTCAGTAATACGTTTGTCGTGAAAAATTTAATCATAAATGAGAAATTTTGTATCCGACCGTACACTGAAATATTACTACTAAAGGGTATATATAATGAATATCTTAGGTTGGTGGTATATTTTTTCCACATATAATAACACTTGTTGCATGAATGATAACATGTTAATATGCAGAATAAATTCAACTAATATATACTAAAAGAAAATAGTATAAGGGTCTAATTCCCAGACCAAGAATATAAAACTAGATAAACTTACAGACGGCAATGACAGTGTATGTGTACCCAGCTACACCAAACGCTTGTTCACTTGTTTTTGTAAGCAAACCTAAGCAAGCTCCGGCAAGCAATAAAATCAGGTAATCCATAGCTTGAATACTAGCTTCCCGCAGTCTCTGCTTACCGACCCTGAAATAATATCGAGGCTGGGAGATGTAATTTACTGGCAACTAACAAAAGAAAATATACTTTGGTCACAACTTAATAAAGAGCACGGGCACCAAACTGAACAGGCATATAGTTATCAAATTATACATAGCCCATCTGAGGGCTTTTGAGATATGAATCTTTTTCAACTCTTAATGATGAGAGAGCGATGGACATAATGATATGGTAGGCCTCACCAATAAGATGGAACCTATCATAGTGTCTATCTCTCTCTAATTAAATAGTCTTGTTGATTAAATAGTCATACTTGTCTGATTAAATAGTCTTACTGATACTAATGATTTTTTTTTTGGGCACAATGATGCTGTGAAAATATTAGATATTTATTGTAAATATTATTATTGTTATAAATATTCTTATGCTTTATTAGTCTTTATTACTAATTATTAGTCATTATTATTATTTTCTCATCCTAGTGTATAAGTACCTGGTTGTATTTTAATAATCTACATCAATGAGAAATAGTTTCACTCAAATTCTACATGGTATCAGAGCCTATGCATCTAAGGTCTCTGGTTAAGGGCATCTAGTGTTTTCTGGGTATGTCTCATTAGATGTGGCCTTTGGAGTGTCTCTGGCGGCTGCTGTTCATGGTGGTAAAGGATGTTTTGGATCTTACCGTTGGCTAGGGAGGTGCCCAAGGCTCCGATAAGTGCAACCCTAGAGTTCAATAGTGGCTAATGGTGTGTGGCACTCCCACACACCAACTGAAGATTCTACTCTAAAGAGTGCTAGGTGGCACGTGGGAGCACGGGGAGGACTAAGGCGGCTAACGATGCCTTCCTCTATTGCCGCCATGACATTTCCAATCTGATTCCAATGTGCCTTAGGTCTAGGCAACTTGTTTTTCATATTTGTCTTCTTCTGTCTATGTGATTGCTCTCTGTTTATAAGGATGTGGTGTTCCTTTTTCCTCTACTATGTAAAAATTATTATATTTATCAGAGTAATCTTGTGGGTACTCTCTAATATCAAAATTACCCAATCCAAGTCTCTACACATAGCAACAGTGGCTAAACGGGGGACTTTCTTTAGGCTCTAACAATGTCATGAAATAAAACAGTGTGGATCATTAACTCTGGAGCCTTCGATCATGTGACTAATTGTTATGAGTTGTTTACCACTTACACCCCGTGTGCTAGGAGTATTAAAGTCAAGATTGTTGATGGCTCATTAGCACCTATAACAGGGAAAAGGGAGTATTTGAATTTCAAATTTCATAATGTTGGAATCTGTACTACATGTGCCTAAGCTCGATTGTAATTTACTTTTCATTAGTCAACTGACTAAGTAGTCAAATTGTTATATTAAGTTTCTTCTATCCCATTGTGTATTTCATGACCTATCATTTAGAGCGACAATCAAAAGTGCTAAGGCATATGAAGGGCTCTATTATTTTGAAGTCTCCACTCGAGCAGGTAACTCATCGATTATTAGTATAACTCTGCATCTATCTCTACAATTAATAACTTTATGTTATAGTATAAGAGGATGGGTTACCCTAATTTTCATTATTTTAAACAATTATTTCCAACCCTCTGTCCAAACTTGAATGTTAATTATATTCATTGTGAAGTGTGTGAAATTACCAAACACCATAAAACTTCCTTTGCTAGAGCCACGTACACACCCACCAAACCTTTCACAACCATTCGTAGTGATTTGTGGGGAGCTTCTCGTACTCCTAACCATACTAAAACAACATGGTTTATTTCTTTCATTGATGACCGCACTCATGTCTGTTAGGTCTATCTTTTATGAAACAAGTTTGAGGGTGCATCCACATTTATCAATTTCTTCAACATGATCAAAACCCAATTCAACACTACCATTCAATTCTTACACACCGATAATGGCACTAGGTATTTTAATCAATCTTTGAGTACTTTCCTCCAAATGCATGGTATTATCCATACTAGTTCTTATGCCCATACACCTCAACAAAATGGGGTTGCCGAAAGAAAAAAAAATTTCCATATACTTGACGTTGCTAAAGCATTTATGTTTACTTGTAATGTGCCAAAATTTTATTATGAGGATGCCATTTTGACCACAACCTACATAATAACCGTATATCCAGTCAAATCTTATCCTTTGAAACTCCTCTCCACAAATTACAAAGTGTTTTTTCAACATCCCATATTGAAATTAATCTCCCTCTTCATGGGTTTGGTTGCACAACTTTTGTCCATAACCACCAAAGCACCAAACTTGAACCTTGAGCTATCAAATGCATTTTCCTTAGCTATTTTGCTACACAGAAAGGATACAAATGCTTTGCTACACACATTTGTTAGCCTTGATGTCACCTTTCATGACGATACTCCATTCTATCCTAATTCTTTGATTCAGGGGGAGAACATAGGTCAATCTCAGACTTGGGATCAAGAACCTAACCAAGAACTTATGCTCTTTGAACTATCGTTTACACCAACTAAGCTGTTACCTTCACCTATTCTACTAGCACCACCATCTCCTCTTATGCCACAACATGAGGAAAATAAGTAGAGAGGAGGAGATGCAAAAAAACCATAAAAGGGAGAATTTCTTGTTTACACTCGAAAATAGAAATTGAAAAACAATGAGCAACTTGTACCTAAAGCGCTAAAGAATTAGAACCAAAGGTAGCTCTTAAAGTAGAAGCTTATGAAGACTTAGAATTTAGGGCAACTTTTGAAACCCTAAAGATGGATGATACAGAACAAATAAGTAAATCTATTGATCTTGATCTTCCTATTGCTTTGAGGAAGCAAACTCGCTCATGTACGTTCCATCCAATAGAGAGATTTGTCCATACAATGTACTTTCTCCTCAATATTGTACCTTTATTACTAATCTTAATAAAGTAAAGATACCTGAGACTGTCTCAAGAAGCTCTAAGCATCCTTAAATGGTGGAGTCTTGTCATAAAAGAAATGAGGGCCCTAAAAAAGAATGGAACATGTGAACTTGTTTAGCTACCTAAAGGAAAGAGAATAGTGAATTGTAAGTGGGTGTTCACTCCTAAATACAAGGCTGACAGAACCCTTAACAAGCTAAAAGCAAGCTTGGTTGCAAGGGGATTCATCCAAACATATGGCCTGGACTATGAAGAAACATTTATTGCGGTAGCAAAAGTGAATACTATTAGAGTCCTGTTATCTGTAACAGCTAATATTGAGTGGCCTCTTTACTAACTTGACATCAAAAATGTCTTTCTAAATAGAGAGTTGAAGGAAGAAGTCTATATGACTCTACCTTCTGGGTTTAATAAAGGTAGAGAAACTGAAGTCTGTAAATTAAAAATGTCTCTATATGGTTTGAAACAATCATCGAGATCTTGGTTTGATAGATTCTCAAAAGTCTTAAAGTCTAAAGGGTACAAGCAAGCTCTGTCGAATCATATAATGTTTGTTAAAGTTGAGGGACGCAAGAAATGTATCATTATTATCTATGTTGATGACATAATACTTATTAGATATCACCTTGAGGAGATAGAGAAAGAGTAAAGGCTATCCTTGGAAAGGAATTTAAAGTCAAGGATCTTGGGAAGCTAAAATACTTTCTTGGAATGGAAGTTGCCAGGTCAAGAAGAGGAATCTATGTTTTCAAAGAAAATATAAACTTGATCTCCTGATGGTGATAGGTATGTTGGGTTGCAGACCTGTCGAAACATCCATTGAGATCAAAAAACCAAAGAAGAAGCTTAAGGTAAATGAGGAAGGTAAAGAAGAAGAGGAAGTCAAAGAAAAAGAAGCAGTTGACAAAGAGAGATATCATAAACTCATTGGAAAACTAATATATCTCTCTCATACAAGACCAGATATAGCCTTCGCTATCAGTGTAGCTAATCAATATATGAGTTGTCCAATAAAGAGTATATGGAGGCAGTGTATAGAATCTTGAGATATCTAAAAGGTACTCCTGCTAGAGGCTTGTTCTTTAGATAACATGAGCAAAGATCCATCGAAATGTACATTAATACAAATTGGGGTAGAACATATAAAGATCAAAGATCAACCTTGGCTATTGTTCATTTGTGTGGGGGGAAATTTAGTGACATGGAGAAGCCAGAAGCAAAGAGTTGTTTCTAGATGCAGTGTTGAATTTGAATTGAGAGCTTTAGCTCAAAGAATTGCTAAGGAGTTATGGCTGAAACGAGTCTTGAATGAGATGCAGGTTAGAGCAAGCTCACCATTGAAGCTCTACTGTGATAATAAAGCTGTCATAAACATGGCCTTAAATCTAGTACAACATGGCAGGTCTAAACATGTTGAGATCGACCGACACTTCATCAGAGAAAAAGTGAAAGAAGGAATTCTATGCTTGCATATTTGCCTACAAGTTACAAGCTGCTGATGTTTTGACTAAAGGGTTACTTGGACCTACTTTTGATGAGAATTGCAAAAGCAAGTTGGACATAATTAGCATCTATAATTCAACTTGAGAAGGAATGTGAAAATATTAGACATTTATTGTAAATATTATTGTTGTTGTAAATATTCTTAGGCTTTATTAGTCTTTATTACTAGTTATTAGTCATTATTATTATTTTCTCATCCTAGTGTATAAGTACCCAGTTGTATTTCAATATTCTACATTAATGAGAAATATTTTCACTCAAATTCCACAATAGTAATTAATAAAATTAGTTGATGAGAAAGAGTGAACACCCTTCTAAACTCCTCCAGCTCATACTTGACCAGACTAGATCGAGAGATTTATTTATATTTAGTTACATAATAACAAACTACATTCAATAAAAGTAACCGCTAACTATGACAAACGTTCTTATTATTCCTAACATGGAAGATAAACCACTCCACTCTTTGTAACAAATCATGACATTGGTTTATTCAGAGATATAATAGAGAGGAGAAATTGTTATATAATTTGGAGAGTGGGATAATGTTGATTAGAGTCTCCCTAAATTGTCACATGACTTCATGGATTTGGATTCAGAAAGACAGCATATAGGGAGCAAAAAGAAAAGGAAAAAGGCCATCATATGTCCAGAAGAAAAGGCTTTATTAGTACTTTTCGTTCCAGTTCTTCACTCACAATGTAAACTTCCCTTGAATTACAAAGAATCTTGAAGCATGGCTGGAAAGCCAAATCATGAAAATAGACACAGCATCAAAAATCCTTTGACTCTTATCATGCAAAATTTTCCCAAAATAAGAAAAGAAAAAAGTATTTCAACCAGGATATTGTAATGCTTCTGATAAAAATGAACACATTAAAGAGGAAATCAATAAATCAGCTGGAAAATACAACTTCCGAGTCAAAAAGAGCAAAAGAGGTGGGGAGCTCATTGGATGATTTACCTTATTAGGAAGTACTTATATTGCTTAAACATACCAGGAGTTTTCCTGTCAGATAAATCCTTGGACTTCGAATAATTAAGTCTAATCGTCTTGCCCTGCAGTTCCACATTGTGTTTAACATCTTGCCATAATTCTCCAGCAAAGGTTTGCTGATGACCAGAACCATTAGGATCCATTTGATTAGCCGTGTTTACACTCTGGGATGATATATCAAATTTAGATACACCCTGCTGCAAATCAAAAGGTACTGGGTAGTTATTATAAAGCATCCATCTAATTGGAAGCTCTCTATAGCTCACGCTTGAGCTTCCACTAGGCACTGCTATACCCTCCAGAATGTCAATGAAGTAGTCTGGAGGATTGATCCGTTCTGGGATATTGATCCCAAGACCTGCAAAGTACTCTTCAACCTTCTTGACTGATCCATGATAGACAGTAAGACCACCTTTTGCCAGTAGAATTAAGTCATCAAACATCTTGAACAAGGCATAGCTGAAGCATAAAGCCAAACCATCAATCGAAAGGAAAGCAGTTCCCTTGCCAAATGATGATAGTAATAACAACAATAATAACAAAAAAATAGAAATAACAAAGATATGATGATTAGGGTGGTGGTGGTGGTGGTGAAGGGAAATTAGCTCCATTGATGTTATGTCCAAATTAAAGCACGGACAGTAATATTTATGCCTATAATGAACCACATATCTAATGCTCATTCAGAAATCTAGCAAGGACCATCTAAGTAGTTATGACAACCTAATATGGTGCAAACTGGTTCATGGCATCAAATTAAACCCAGCACCGAATACCATGGCACAAGAAAACCCAAACTTGGAGAAACAACACAAAATTTTAAGCTTATAATAAGTAGTATATGATCTAATTTTCCTTCAGATAAGAATAAGGGAAAGTTCCGATAAATATTAAAAGTGAAGAGGCTCTACAACTCTCGATTGAATTACTGATTAAGAACTACGCATATGTAATTTCTTTTTCTTACAAGCCACAGTCGTATATAAAGAATACTGGTACAGAAACGAAAGCCATTTCACTAATGATGCAAATTTGGAATTAAACGTTACCTGGGTTGGTGCACGACCATGCAAATATTTACCCCCTCAAGAGCTTCACGTCTAAGTGCTCTAAGAAGGAGTTGAGATGATGCACTGTCCAAACCAGATGTGGGTTCATCCAAGATCAAAAGCGAAGGTTCCATGACCATCTCCAACCCAACATTTACACGTTTCCTTTGGCCTCCAGAAATTCCTCGCTTTTCCACTGTCCCAACCATGGAATTTCGCACTGACTGAAGTCCCAGGAATTCAATAACTCTTTCAACAACTAGAACTTTATCTGGTTTTGACAGGTCAGAGGATAGCCTAAAATGGCAATGAGATTTTGTTAAAAGAGTATACAAACATAAACAATCAAACAAAATAATTTGCACGGAAATTGTAAGCAGGACAGATCAGGACAAGCTAAGGAAGAGGCAAAGAAAGCAAATTATTGGGGCTAAAAAATTCATCCAGGATTAAGAAGTTAAACTACAATTCAAAGCAAGTACAGGCAGAAAGTAACTGCGTAATTTTTCAAGGCGAAAATGAATAAAGTGTAAAAAGTACTGCAGTTCGATTGTCTAACAATGTGCCATACCTGCACTGTGCACTGAACCAAAGGTTCTCTTCCACTGTTAGGTTTCCGTGAACTATATCATCTTGTGGCACAAAGCCAATAATTTTCTTGTAGGAGCGGATAGATTCATTCTTTCCATTTATAAAAATTGAACCAGTTGCTGTGCATCCAGGTGCTTTCCCGGCTAGAGCAGAAAGAAATGTTGTCTTGCCCGCACCTGAAGGACCCATGACAGCGGTAATGCGTCCAGGTTTAATTTTACCAGTAACACATCTCAATATATGCTTTCTTTGTGCTTTCAGAGTGAGAGTCAGATCTTTGAAAGAAATCTCAATTAATGGCCTTTTTCTCTGTTCACTGTTGATGGCCATTCTAATTACTCCAGAGAAGGTAAGATTCTTGTTTTCTTGTTGCTGTGCTTTCTCCTTTTCAAGCTGAGCATATGCATACTTAAAAACCTGGGTTTGAGTATTCAGTTGTTTCCCCTTGGGCATTTTCCATGTGAAACTTTTTTCTTTACTTTCAACATTTAAGTTGCCATCAATGTCCGGGTCATTTTCTATCTCATTCATCATCTGTATCCGGTCACTGGGTTCGTTTCTGATTTCATTTGGCACTGCAGATGAAGGAACAACCATGCATGAAGTGATGGGATCAGGTAAAAATTCAACATCTGTTTCCGAAGTTTCCTGATCCAAAATTTGAAAAATTTTAAGTTTTCCTGAATGTGATGCTTCCTTCATATTACGAGAAAATTTGTGTGATTGTTGGGTTTGCAGCCCACTAGCATGCTTCTTAGCATGATAGTTCTGTTCTTTTCTCATTTCATTTGGCACTGCAGATGAAGGAACAACCATGCACGAAGTGATAGAATGTTCCGGCAAAAATTCAACGTCTGTTTCCGAAGTTTCCTGATCCAAAATTTGAAAAATTTTAAGTTTTCCTGAATGTGATGCTTCCTTCTTATTACGAGAAAATGTGCGTGATAGTTGGGTTTGCAGCCCACTGGCATGCTTCTTAGCGGCATCTTTTGCAGATTTCCATCTTTGGCGTGCATTTGCTGTCTTCCTTGCACTTCTAGCTGCTGCTTCTCTGGATTCAGCCGCTCGCCTTTCCCTAATTGTGAGAACTTGGTCAGAAAAGTTGTAAATAATGAGTAGCAAAGTACTCAAAGCAGCCTGCATAAGCAGTGGGAGAGTGTCAAGTGTCAACCTCCACCAACATGGTCTTTCTGTGTGCATGTCTATCTATATATTTGTCCGTAACATGTCTTGTGCACGGTTTTAAGCTCATCTTTGAAATATACCATATAATTTAGAATGTAAATTGAGTGGAAAAATGGAAGCACAAAGAATTGGAAACTTTTCCAAGCTTATATTTGGCATCAGAGCTTAGACATAAAATTTAGCAGTTCTCCTTTAAATAATCAGTGGCCAATGAAGATAAATGGTTACTGGTCTAAATGAAAGTCCAGCTATTCTTGTTCTGAACTAACAACTTACGATGAGCATAATTCCATATGCATGCAGATTTTGAGTTGCTGTTTTTGAATTACATGAACTCAACTTGAAACATCCTACAAAACAATCAGCGAATGGTCATATATACGTGATTCATGTATATATTGAGGAAATTGATTACCTAATCTGAGACTAAATATAAAATTTTTGCACCAATATTTCACCATTCTTCGGGAACCTTACTTTTCTCAGACGTGGAACCCATCCTGCAATAATGCCTGAAATATGAAGAGCACGAATAAAAATCAGAATTATGGACAGAGGCAGCTTTAAAATTTTTTGTTGATATTATTACAAATCAACATTAGGGCCTCTGGCTCCATATCTACCAAGATCCCTAGTTACTTTCTTCCAGAATCCTGTTATAGCAGGTTGTAAACAAGAACCAGGTTCTGAGACAAAATAATACCCACTACTGCAAGTGACTCTTTTGGTGGTTGTTGGACAGTATGAGCCAGCAGAACAAAATATCTCAATACTGCTAGTAAAATCGGCCCAAATATTTGCTCCTCCACATGTATGGTTCGGCTGACTTGGAGGCAATTGGTAAATATATCTGCAGTAATAAATAGATTAACGTCAAACAGAGAACATAATCAATAACCCCAGAGGAAAACAAAACTTGAGACCAACATATTAGAACTCACGGTTCACATACACCAGTTGTTTCATTGAGTCTTGCAAGAGGGCAATAGGAACCTAGCGGGCAAGCTTCCAGAATAATGTTTCATATGCCATAAAGAAACATTTGAAGCATTAGAGAAAGCTTCGTGCTTGTATATCTCAATATTTTATTATTCTTGCATATTATGCCATTGGGATTAATTGCTCAGAACTGTTGGGAGGACTCTGTCACATTTATGCATGATAGAGTTAATGTTGTCTAGCTTGCGAATTAATCGATGTGGTACTTTTAGTTTAACTATATAAAAGAAGTGAGATAAGCGAGTGCTTTTCTAGCAAGACTTACTCGAAACATCTCATCATTCACCAGAAACAACAAATGAATTGGCAATTTTTCATTCTATAGACCAGTATAAAGTAATTAAAGTTCCACAATATATGAATCCCCAGCACATTTCTATATACCCCTCACTCTATTCGGAAATTCTTTGAGGGGCTTCTACATTTAAAAATACTAGTACATGACTCAGCTTGAGGGTGCAGGAAAGTCCAGTTAGATGTTGGTTTATTGTCATGCAGAAGCGGTTTCCAGTCATCAGTGATGAAGATAGATTTCTAAAAAATTCTCGTATACTTACGTATCATGCAAGTGAGGCCATGAGGACAAAAGAAGCCCTCACAACATGCTTGACAACTTGTAGTTCTGGCAGGTATCTCCTTTGAATTCTGAAGGTCAACTTGCTGTTGTGGGCCAACACTACAGGCCCATCCTGGCTCGCAACCAGAGACCCATGAGGTTAAATTGCAGTTCTCGTTAGGCTTTACGAAATTGGCTTTTGAACTCTCGAAGAGACTATTAAAGTAAAACCTCATCTCTGCTGCTGTGCACAAGCGTTTTGTGATATCTCCTGCAAACCATAATATTAAAAGTGACACAGATTTCTCTCTAAGAACAAAAATTCAGAGGATTAATGCTGCTCAATTCTCACTATCCAAATTTGGCAAGAAACAATAACTGCTCGATCCTCATTCTTGCTTTTATTGAACGGAATGGAAGATAGACAATCATATTGTGAATGGAAGACTATCAATTGCTGGAATGAAAGATGATCCCACGTAATCATATATTCTTGAAGTGCATTTTTTAAACAAAATCAATACTTTATCTTTCAGACCCGCGGCTGATCTTAATATATCCCATAACAAGATTAACTTCCACGCAAGCAAGCAGTGACGTTCTGAAACTCACCTTTGGTTTTTCGAATGCAAGAAGTCAAGAAGTCCAAATTTGAAGAGAAGTTAAACGCTTGATTCCACTCAGCTTCCCTAAAATAAGTGAGTTGGTTTTCACGCTCAAATCCATACAGACAGAATTATAAGATGAAATTGCGGTAACAGTAAGATTTTATTTTTTTAATTTCACTTAGTACATATGGACCCAACCGATGGCTGGACTTGCAGAGAAATTAGCCAGGTTGCATAGGTACAAGTATGAGTATCCAATATGACACCGCGATGCAGAAAATTTTTAAAATTGAAGAATATAAGCATAGGGACATTTATAATATATATTTCAATATTTTATGATTTTATTGGTATTCTGCTTTTTAAACAAGAATTTATAAAATAATACAAGGATATTTATAACAATTAATCAAAATAAAAAGTGTTTTTTTAAGCTTTGAAGTGATATAGTAAAAAATTGTTGAAAAAAAATCATGTTACAAATATTAGAATATGAGATGCGTATATCAAAGTATCCTACAAATACATATCAAATACAGGTTCATAAGAAATTAATCATCTCATATATTGCATGATGAAATAAAGTTGCTTTCTTATTATTTTCTTCTTTTTCCTTTTTTGTTTTCAATATTTGAGCTAAAATTGGAAAGAAGTCATTGTTTAAAAAAAATTAAAAAAAAATGAAGAGTAGCCATATATTAGCGCGCACAAGAATTTTTCCAGACCCACGCCATAAAAGGATCTAAATTAATAATGAATAATTAATATTAATAAGTTATCTATAAAACACCTCACGCTTTTAAAAAAAGAATTTTCGATGTGTCAGTTTTTTCTTAATGTCATTTATAAATCACACCAAAAATGGGTGAGAGTCATCAATAATAAAATATAAATCAGAAAGCCTTTGGGACAAGTTCATTGATAAAAGGGATCTATGAAATTGTGACAAACATACTAAAAAAAAAAGTTTCATAATAGAATTAAAACAAGCTTTCAGAAAGAAGTGCAGTGGAATCTCTTCTGATAATACAGAAGTACCAAATTAACAAACAGGTGTAGAACGAGCCAGAAAACAAGATACTCACGGATCTTTGACGCAGAAACTGGAGCTGCGGCTAATTTCCTGACTGAGAAAGGAGGTAAGATTGGAAATTCGAGAGTACACAAGCTGCGTGACGAGGGGAAGAACAGCCGGATTTTGTATCTGATCGTAGTCATCGGCGACGACGTGTTGGCACTTTATCACATTGAAGAAGCTCAAGAGCGCCACAATCCCTAACCAAATGAATATTGCCAACAATTTCTTCTTAGGCTTACACATGATGATCCTATATTGGTATGGAGAATGAAGAGAGACTATTGCGTGTGAAATGAATGGATGAATGAATGAATGAAGGAAAGGAATAGAGGGATAGCTAATTATGTGAAGCTTGCGTGAGAGAGATTTTGTGAAGAAGAAGAGATAGTGGTGGGACCCACCAAGGAGGAGGCAAGCACGTTCGAACGAGTAACCATTAATCACGCCATGCAACCATATGATCTGAATTCAGACACCTTTGCCTTGCCAGCCACCTTCCTCGCGTGTTTTCAGTCTACGCTTTTGCATGCACTAAATAATCATTTTTCCCTTTTTTATTGTATTTAAATTAATTAATCATGCAACATGTTATATTTTTAATTTTTTTATCATTAAACTAAAAAACTGATGTAGACCCTCACGAAGGTGCTCAATCTTTTGTCCAAAAAAAACAAGAATGTGCTCAATCTAATAAATGTGTCCCACTTGTGAATTTGTTATAAATTTTATATTTAACTATTATGATATGAAAGACGTTGATTTTTTTTTTTTACCGAAAAATAGCATTGACATTGATATTAATTATATTCCTGAGAAGTGTCTAACTTTAACGTTGTATCTTCGTTGAGTGATTGCTTTTAATAATTATTTTCAATAAAAGAATATTTGTGCATGATAAAAAAAAATTATGTGGATATTGATTATTCTTTGTAACATTATGGTGAATTTGTAAGGATTAAAGCACAAATCTATCTACAAAATTTTTACATAAAGAACATGGTATCCTTACTCTTTTATGTTTTGTGAAATGTTGCCTTCACATTTTTCAATTAGTACAATATCATTAAAAAATTTGATCGTTGTTTGTCTTACTAGATTGTCACATTGGTTTTCATGTGTGATTAAACCTCTTCTCCCTTCTATCACTTTCACTTCTCTCCTCCCAACCAATCAATTTATGATTGTTTTCAAATCTTGATTGACTAGAACGATCAAATCAGTTGAATCATTATTTAGAGAAGAAAATAGTCTAATTCAATCATTTAATTTGTTCTAACAGTTGACTCAAGTTGGTCCTCTTCGATCTAAATGGTTTTTAAAGACTCAAAAAAAATTGAGACCTAAAGCTGTTGAACTGCTCTAACCTATTTTTAATATATATATATATATATATATGCATATATTATTTTATTATTTTATTATTTAATTATTATATTATTAATTTAACCATCAACCTATTGATTAAATTATAGAACTTATGAATCATTGATATTTTTAGTTTATTATTTGATTCGGTTTTTAAAATGTTAGTTTGTGCGCTTTTTATCCATTATGGGCCCTAAATCTCGAGGCTCCTTGAAAACTCCGCCCTCCTTTGATTCACGTCTCCAAATGGGTGTGTTGGGGTTATTGGGATTGAACCTCGCCCATGTTAAAGCTAACGTCGGTGGGCTTCATCCGAGCATGGTATCGTCATCATCGGTCGAAGCAATGACGAGGAGGGTCAGCATGGGTGCGAACAACGAGGGAGAGGGTGGTGGATCGCTCCTCCTCTTGGTGATGCTTGGCGGCTGAGCTAAAAGCTTTTATTGGAAAGGTCAAGATGACAAATCATATATAAAAAAAAAATTAATATATATATATATATATATTTAGTCCTCTAATTTTATATAATAATTTTATAAATTATCTTTTTAATTCTCTAATCTTAATATTATTAATTTAAAATGATTATTTTTTATATAAATTATTGTTATTTTAAAAAAAATTAAATTTAATATGTGAATATTTGAGAATGTTTTGTTAATATTTAAAAGTTTAATGTAAAAATTTATTGAAATGAAACTAATAGTACTAAGATTAAAAAATCAAAAAAAATACTTTATAAAATTAAAGTTTTACTCATTAATTTTTTATAATATAAGAATAATTAATTATAATGTTTGTGATAATAAATTTTTTAGTAATTTCCTTCTCAATATAAACTATCATTAAATTGATAAAGATTTCATCTTCTCCATAAATATTTAATAAATTAAATGCATTCTTGGGATCTAAAGTTTTGTTTAATCTAAAAAAAAATCTATTACTTGCTTAGTTAAATTGGCGAAGATTCCATTTTTTCTATGAACATTGAATAATTTAAATGTATTGTTGAGATCTAAAGTTCTATTCAATTAAAAAAAACTCTATTATTTTCTTTCTAAATTTACTATTTAATTCTTTCAATTGATAATTATAGTAAATAAATATATCAACATGGAATGATACTCAATTGTTACATATTTTTTATGTCAATGAAATCTAAGTATATCATTGTAAAAACCATTCATATAATAAATTTTAATAACTTGGTTATTACAAAAAGAAGTAAATATTTTTTAGAAGAACATATTTTAACTATAACCTCTTGATTTTTGGATAAGTGATTTCATAGTGAACATCAAATATATCTTGGGATTTTTGTTGTAGTGGATGATAAAGTTTGTAATTAATAATTCTTATAATTTATTTCATTAAATATAAAATAAAAGCAAAATCAAATGACATTAACTCTTTAACAGCAACTGTAACATCATCTTGTTGAAAATAAGTAGACTATATAACAACTATATCATCAAGCTACTGAAATAATTAGACTATACATATGTAAAAGACTAATATAGAATTGAAATGAGAATTTCATCTAGTATCTAAAAGCTTTTATAATGTATTAACTTAAGAGGCCAAAAATATATAACTCTTATGTTTTACTTAAAAAAATTAAAAAGCTAGAGAGTCGTGGCCTTTGTTGGTCACCTGTCTCCACCCCAATGGTGTTTGATGAGTATCTCAAATGACCATGAATTAAGCATCAAAGATTAGCTCAAGTGACAGTGAGCATGAAGGAGTATGTTAACTTTCTAATTATGAGTCATTTTGACTCTAATTATTGAGAGAAAATCATACACCATATCTCAATGAAATGAATAACTCTCTATTCAACAAAACCAATGTATACAAAGTATTTATAATGCTGTTGTGCTAACTAAAATATACATAACAGAATAAAACAGAATAAAATGACATTACATACTAAATCTTGAAAAACTATTTATTTTCTACATTTTCTACACTCCCCCTCAAGTTGGTGCCATAAAGATCTATAGTGCCCAACTTGCCTAAAAGATATTCATGTGCTTTTTTACCCAGTGCCTTGGTGAGAACATCAGCTTCTTGTTGTCCTAAACGAACATGATTCAGGTGAATAATCCTCTCTTGCAGCTTGTCTCTAACAAAATGATAGTCCACTTTTATGTGCTTCGTCCTTTCATAGAAAACAGGGTTGTTAGCAATGTGTATGGCCGCTTGACTGTCACAATAAATATTTATAGGCTGAACACGAGAAATGTTCAAATTCTTAAGCAATCTTATAATCCAAATGACTTTCAATACTACAGAACTCGAGGTTCTATATTTAGCTTTCGTAGAGGACTTAGACACTGTGTGTTGCTTCTTTGTTTTTCCAAGAAACTAGACCATCAACTGATTTGACTAAATAGCCTATAATAGATCGCCAGGATGTACTATATGAAGCCCAGTCTGAATCACAAAAGCAACTCAAATCTATATTCTTATTTGAACTGAGAAACACTCTAAGTCTTGGGTTCTGTTTTAAATAATGAAGTATATTCTTGGCAGCTGCCATATGAGCTTTTATTGGACAGTTCATAAATGAGCTAATAACCTGCACAAGAAAAGAGATATTAGGATGGGTCATAGTCAAATAAATTAACCTTCCTACCAACCTCCTATATTCTCCAGGATCCCTCGATAATTCTTCCTTCTTATGTTTACCTTCTTTATATGCTAAAAACTTCAGGTTTTGTGGCATAGGGATGTTAAGAGGCTTACACCAGTCATACCTTTATTTGATAATAAATCTAGAACATATTTACACTGACTCATCACTATGCCTTTTCCGGACTTGGCAATCTCAATCCCTAAAAAATACTTTAAGGACCCCAAGTCTTTGATTTTAAATATGGATTTTAGAAAATCTTTAATTTCAGCAATACCAACATGCGAACTACTAGTTATAAGTAGATCATCCACATAAACTAGAACTAATACTATACCATCATCAGTATGTTTAGTGAAAAGTGAATAATCATACCTATTTTGTTTAAATCCAGCTTCTAATAAGGCCTCAGACAACTTACAATTCCACTTCCTTGAAGCTTGCTTCAACCCATACAGTGATTTTTTAAATTTATATGTTGTATTCTCCCCCTTACTATGAAGTCCTTAAGACACTCTCATATATACCTCTTCATTTAGGTGTCCCTATAAGAAAGCATTATATATATCCATTTGGTGCAAGCCCAGTTATTTTAGGCAGTAAGATTAAGTATGATTCTCACTATTACTATTTTAACTGCTGGAGAAAAAGTCTCATGATAGTCTATACCCTTCTTTTGGTTATAGCCTTTAGCCATTAATATAGCTTTGTATCTATCTACACTGCCATTAGACTTATATTTAATTTTAAAAACCCATTTACACCCTATGGCACATTTATTTTTAGGTAATGGCACTATATCCCAGGTATTATTATTTTTTTAAGGCTTGTAACTCATCATTTATGGCCTGAACCCAATTTTCATCCCTTATAGCAGCCTCATAACTAGTTGGTTCATGAACAGAATCAATTGAAGATAAGAAATAGTGATAAGAACGTGATATATTAGCATAGGAAACATGATTTTAAATAGGATAATAAATGCTAGGATTAATGCATGAAGATGCAGAAAAAGCATAATCTTTTGCCCATATTAGTGGTTTTCTATCCCTGGAAGGTCTCATCCTAGGCTATTCAAGCATATTTGTGTCTATTATGTCCTCTTCAACTACATCATGAGTACATTCCATTTGATTATTGACAGATTTTGTATATCCAGACCTAGTAGATTCAGGCTTATGATGCACGGTTTCAACATCATCCTAAAACTGATTGTGACTAGAAGACCATTGAGATTCTTAGTTAACTTGTGCAAAGTCTTTAAAAGGAAAATTATTCTC